AGATATAGCTATAGCTCCCATGTATATGTTTTATCCGATTTGGTGTTCAAGTCCCTCACATTCGTAATATGCATTCGACAACAATGATATTTGGTACCAGATATCCGATACAGCCCAGAAATACATCTGCCAAATTTCATCAAGATGGGTTCAGATTTGGATATAGCTCCCACATATATCTTCAAACGATTTCGGGTTAATTGTATATCAAATCGCCAATATCAGTCCAAATGACCTGAATTTTGGCACATCCGACTGAATTCAGTCTAGAAGCAAGTACATCAAATTTGGTGAAAATCGGTTTAGGTATGGCTATAGCTCCCATGTATATGTTTCATCCGATTTGGGGTTTAAGTCCCCCACATTCGTAATATGCATTCGACAACAATGATATTTGGTACCAGATATCCGATACAGCCCAGAAATACCTCTGCCAAATTTTATCAAGATCGGTTCAGATTTGGATATAGCTCCCACATATATCTTTAACCGATTTCAGGTTAACTGTGCACCAACTGGCCAATATAAGTCCAAATGACCTGAATTTTGGCACATCCCACCGAATTCAGTCTAGAAGCAAATACATCAAATTTGGTGAAAATCGGTTCAGATATAGCTATAGCTCCCATATATATGTTTCATCCGATTTGGTTTTTAAGTCCCTTCACACTCGTAATATGCATTCGACAACAATGATATTTGGTACCAGATATCTTATAGAGCTTGGAAATACATTTGTCAAATTTTATCAAGATCGGTTCAGATTTGGATATAGCTCCTACACATATCTTCAACCGATTTCAGGTTAACTGTGCACCAACTGGCCAATATAAGTCCAAATGACCTGAATTTTGGCACATCCCACCGAATTCAGTCTAGAAGCAAGTACATCCAATTTGGTGAAAATCGGTTCAGATATAGCTATAGCTCCCATATATATGTTTCATCCGATTTGGTTTTTAAGTCCCTTCACATTCGTAATATGCATTCGACAACAATGATATTTGGTACCAGATATCTTATAGAGCTCGGAAATACCTTTGCCAAATTTTATCAAGATCGGTTCAGATTTGGATATAGCTCCCATATACATATATCCTTAATCCGATTTTAGGTTTATTGTGCAAATAATGACTAATATCAGCCCAAATAGAGTGAATTTCGGCTCCGACATATATATTTTTTAAATGTAATCCTTCTCGAAGTGATATCATACACTCTATAGCAACGTTATTCAATATAAAAGATAAAAAGATCTTCGTCAAATTTAGTGAAAATCGATTCAGAAATGGATATGCAATAACTACTCTAAAGCCAAATGTTGATAGGTGATATGATCTTCTTCAAATAAACTCTTTTCTTAGGGAGCTTTACTAAATATGCATTGTGGTGTAGGGTCGGCCACGCCAGACCTTAGACTTTTCCTCACTGATTTTTAAATGTGTAAGGTTCAGGAGGCCTGCCTCCACAACTGAAGCCTTTTTGAAACTTGTTTAAACATTAACTCAGTTAACAAAAAAAAAAAAAAGAGAAATGAAAACAAATTTAAAGATAAACAAAAGTTTTGTAGCATTTGTTCCTATCTATTGTGTTATTCATATCAAATTTTTTCTTCAACGACAAAAATTTATGACTCACCCAAAACCCGTACATGTGAAGTTAAAAGAACATAGATAGACTATAAGTTCAAAAATTTTTGTGGCATTCGCTATTTTGAAGTTATTTTTGCAACAAGAATCACTGAAAATGTTCAAAAATAAAAATAGTTTTATTTAGCACAGCCTTGAACGTATAATAACCCACACTTCATAACAACTCATGAAAAATTTGCATTTTTTTAATGAAAATATTGTTTTGACCCCCAACCCAAAAACTTTTTTCAGAATCGAAGAATTCTTAAGAAGAACCAGGTTATCGTCTAACATTTGTCACTCAATGGAAACGTGATATTCACCGGCCAAAAGTGTGGGACACCCTCAACATTGTTTATATAGCACAGAACTAAGCATGTTGTATGTATTTGTATACACATAAACATAACTACAAACTTGTCAGGAGGCAGCTTATATTTTTTTTTGTCTAGACAATTAGTATTTTTCCAAAATTAGTTGGTGGTGTTGGTGGTGCTGGCGGTTGTCTAATCAAATGCAAAATTTTCAACAGCCCATGGTATTATCAATTTTTCTAATCATATCTCTCGCCCGGCATATGAACGGCCACTGTTTTTGTTGTGTACGTTTTTTTTTTCTTCTTCTGACAAATGAGGCCTCTATAAAGATTAGCACTTGATTTAAAATATACATACACTTATGGCTTCGCTTTCCCTTTGTTTCGAGTTCTTCCACTATTTTCGATTGGCCTTGACATTGAAGACAACAATTCCCGTGCCAGTGACTTTAGAGAATTTGTATGTTACTTAGTTTGTTTCTTGGTTGTTTGTTTATAAATAATGTATTGTATTTAATGTCGTTTTTTGTACAACAAAAATAGAAATGAATACAATTTAGTCAAATTTCCTTTTGAATATGCAATTTTGGACGTAGGTCAGTACAAAAACAAAACGAGGAATAATTCAAATCCAATACTTCCTGATGGCGAGTGCATTGAAGTCACAAAAAGTCATCTAGTTAAAGAAGAGTCCACAGATCTATCCAGGAAAAAAACTTTCTTAACAAATCTGTGTTTATAGTTGCACCTGGAAAAATATTTTTAACAAATCCACGTTTGTAGAAAGGCCTTGATAAATACTTTTTACCAAATATCCACGTTTATCGATGGAGAGAAAAAAATATGTTTAACAAATCCACGTTTATGGATGGAACAAAAAATAATTTAAAAAAAAGCCATTAAAATTTAAAAATCTCCCTTTTTATACCATTAGCCATATGGTTAATTATACCCTCAGCCTTATGGCTATTATCTAGTCGAAATAACGGCTTTAGACCCTAGGTCTCTTTGGACTAAATCCGTTTCATTACATTTGAAGTCGATCTAGCGATGTCCGCTCGTCTGTCTGGTTGGCTGGTGCGCACGATAACTCTCGAAGGGAGTATCCGATTTGGTCCAAACTTGGTACATTGTAATATTTTTGTGAAACTTAGATCGAGTTCGGTCGACTCCTTCTGCCAACTCCACCACAAAAGATCGAAATTTTCAAAAATACATTTTGCTCTAACTTTGCAAATCCTAATATTTGCGTCAATTGTAGGTCAGGTCATGGACTATATCGGTCTACTCCTTCACGTACCTCCCCCACAAAGCGTCAACATTTTGAATAATTACAACTCTTATAAAATGTGATGTAAGAGTCCGATTGTCTTCAAATTTCACACATCCCAATATTTTTATTAACACAAGGTCTGGTGTTAAGATGGAATACATTGGTCCACTCCTTCTGGTACCTCTCCCACAAAAGGTCGAAATTTTCACAATATATATTTTTTGCCCAGATAGAGAAACGTTTATCCGATTTTGCTCGAGCTTTGCAAATCCTAATATTTTCGTCAGCTCTAGGTCAGGTGCGAAAATGGACAATATCTCGGTGCACTCTATCAAGTACCTCCCCCACAAAGGGTCAAAATTTTGAATAATTACAACTCTTATAAAATGAGATGTAAAATTCCGATTGTCTTCAAATTTCACACATTCCAATATTTTTATAAACCCAAGATCTGGTGTAAAGATGGTCCATTCCTTCTGGTACCTCCCCCACAAAGGGTCAAAATTTTGAATATCCATGAAGCTCATAAAACGCCATATTAATATCCGATTCCATTCAGACTTGGCACATCTTAATATTTCTCTTAACTCAAGATCTGTTATAAGTATCGGACATTTTTGTCTGGTACCTCCCCCACAAAGGGTTAAAGTTACCAAATCCGAAATAAGCTTTCGGTTCTCTTCAAATTGCACACAACTCATTTTTTTCTAACACAAGATCATCTGTGAATATGGAATATATCGGTTCACTCAATCTGGTAGCTCCCCCACAAAGGGTAAAAATTTTTAATATCCGTGAAGCTCATTTAACGCGAAATTAACATCCGATTCCATTCAGACTAGGTACATCTCATTTTTTCTATCAACAGAAGATCTGTTTTAAATATGATAGAGATCGGACCATTTCTTCAATATTTCAACCAAAAACCTGCGATGAAAATGGATTTTGTCGGAATTTTCGTAAATAAATGTTAGATTTTCTTGTAATTTTGCCCATACCAATATTTTTATCTGTATTAGGTGAAGTATGAAAATGGAATACTTCGGTCGACTATATCTGGCACCTCAGGCACATTTTAACATTTTACAAATATTATCACATATCTCATAAAAAGTAAAGGAAGTAGTCGATATAGTTGAAAACCTGCACGTCGCAAAATGTATATCATATTTATTTATGGCCGCTACGAAATAGACAAGATTGGCGAATTCCTTCGGTGCTTATTCCATAGACGTTCAATAATTTGAATAATCATAACAGAAGTCAAAATATATTTGAATAATCGAACATTGTCTAAGGGTATACATGTGTCGGCAAAACCGACTGAGACTGTTTAACTTGTTTTATTTATTTTTTTAAAGCTTTCCTTTAGCTTCTTAAAAATCATCCTTAATAAATCATCCTGGAAATACTAAAACAAAACACGTTAATAAATGGCTCTGAAAAATACATTTTTCAATATAAAAACCAACACTACATCTGGCTGGGGCCTTCAAGGACAATTTCTCTTCGTCTCGAGATCTCTGTAGATGTCATTTAAAAATTTCTAGAATGCCAATTGCAAAAACCATTATCGATAATTTGTCATTACATTGTATGTAGTTGACACCACAATGTGTAGACGTCATGATCTCAAATTTCCATTGCTTAAAGCTAATTGAAAGCCCTATTAATAGAATTAATACACAACCAGGGTGGGGGACCTTAATTATAATTAGTGCAATTATTTAGGATGGGGGGGGGGGGGGGGGGGGCAAATGCATTGCATATTATTACTTACATGATATTGAAACACGGTATTCAATATATTTGCATCACCGGTAAAATTCTGTATACTTTGGCCCCAGAGATTGGCCGGTGACAATACTAGGCAATCATATTCCGGAAAGATTTGCTCGTTCTGCGGTCGTTTCACATTATCCACACGTAAACAGATCTTATCCAAAGTGCGTTGACTACAAAAACGACAAGACAGAAAGAAAGAATGAGGGGAGGGTAAGATATTGGCTCAAATACACAAACATAAATTAAAGTACAATAATGAATGAATGAAACTGAACAGCAACAACAACAATAATAACAATGCTCATATAAATAAATATACTTTGAATAGCAACGACGACGACAACAAAAATTAATATTTGTTTGTTCGTCTGATTGATTGTGACTACCCAGTGCAATGAATGATCAGCACAATTGCCTGGCCCAGAGGAGCAGAATGTAATAGCTAGCTAACTAGCTGGCTGGCTAATGATGCCTCTATTGGATGGAAAGTGAGTTAATATGACAATAACTAAACTAAACAAGTCAAATGCAAATTCCCCTCGCCCTCGCAAATCCCTTTGATGTTTACTTACTTGTCGGCCGTTTCGTGATTTCGCACAATTTCCAATAAACGAAACACTTCATAGAGTGGCGCACGAAATGCATCCATCAGCTGCATATCCTCGGTCCAGGGTAACACACTCGATCGCAAGGTGATCTGTTGCACATAGAAATAGGGTGAATTCTGGGCCCACGGTACATGCGGTTCATACGAAACATTATTCACATTGAATATGTTCTTGACGAGCGAATAGTTCGATCGTTGTTCACCCTCGCCAAACAACGAATATTTGCCCTCGAATGGCAGGACGATTTTTGTGGGTATTGTTCCGGGCAGGGGTATGTTGATAAGGGGATAACTGCAAAGAGAGAAAGAGGGAGAGAGAAAATGAAATAAAAACAGATTAATGAAAATGTTATGGAAATTGAAAAAAAAAAAACGAATACAAAGTGTTACAAACTATAATAATGAGAGCAGAGCACGCAGAAAAAAACATTGATTTAATAATAAACGTCATTACAAAATAATATATGTACATATGTAATAAATCGTACAGATTATTTTTCTAATGTAATTGTCATAATTGTTTATCACTTTTTATTTTTTTCATTAATAATAAAGGAAGAATAATTATTGTCCATTTTCAATAATTGATTTTAAATGCATATATGCGTAGCCTATTTGTAGCGTACTTAGTCCAATATGGCAAATATATGCTTGCCATATACGACCGACCCGATGAGTAAAATAAAATAACCAGAACTGACTATATAAATATTTCCGGTTTATAATTGGAGTAATACTTGGATTGTAGGAAAAATAAAAACAAACAAGTTAAAAAGTATCAGTGGGTTTTGCCGACAGATGTATACCCCTAGCCTTGAGTTATGACTATTCCAACTGTTGACCCTCTATGGGAGAGGTTCCGAAGCTGTTGGTCATTACTGTCCAATTCGTATGTGCCATATTTGGACTATATCATCTGCTTCCTATAATTTATATGAGATATGTATTTTTTTTTTTTTTTTTTTTTTGAAAATGTTGAAATATTTGTGAGTTACCAGATATAGCAGACCGAAATATTCCACCTCGCATATAATGCATATAAAAGTATTGGTACGCGCAGAATTTAAAAGAAATCAAACTTTTATATCCAATTTTATGCGAAATCATAAATTTCGATAAAATGTTCGTACAGGTTCATATCAGATTAATGGTTAAGAGAAATATTTAGATATAACAAGTTGACATGTTTCGCAAGTTATTACAGGGTGAGATAAAAAAAACTGCAAAAGAGTCTAAAGCCATAATTTTTACATTTTTTTTTTAAATTTTTTTTTGAATGAAAGCAATAAAGGTCGAAAATAGCATCAAATTTCAGAATAAGCTTAGATTTGTTCGAATTGGTAGCCGTTGGCACGGAGTATGGCCTTCAAACGGCCAATGATACCGTCACACGCTGCCCGAATGTTGCTCAGCGGTATTTTGGCCCATTCACGGTGAAGCGCTTGAATAATTTTAACAGCTGTCGGACGAGTGGCTTAGAAATGACAGCAGCCTGAAATTGGTTTATAGGTGAGGTACCAGAATTGGTTCGCAGATATACATTATCTTCACAACAGATCTTGCGTTAGCAAAAATAATTTGAAGACAGTTACATGTTTTCGCTTTCTTGGAACTTTTTGTTTTTCAAAATCTTGAAACCTATGTGGGGGAGATACCAGAAGAAATGGTGCGATCTCTACCATCTTTATAACAGATCTTGTGTTGCTGGAAATATTAAGATGTGTCAAGTCTGAATGAAATCGGATGTTAACTTCGTGTTTTATGGGCTTCATCAATATTCAAAATTTTTAGCCTTTTGTGGGTGAGGTACCAGAAGGAGTGGACCAATATATAAAATCTTCACAGCAGATCTTGTGTTAGCAATAGGATGTGTTAAATATAAAGAGAATCTGATGCTTATTTCGGATTTTATAAACGCTTCGGTTATTCTAAATTTTGACCCTTTGTGGGGGAGGTACCAGAAGGAATGGTCCGATCTCTACCATTTTTATAACAAATCTTGCTTTAATGAAAGTATTAAGATGTGCCAAGTCTGAATGGAATCGGATGTTAACTTCGTGTTTTATGAGCTTCTTGAATATTCAAAATGTTGACCCTTTGTGGGTGGAGGTACCAGAAGGAGTGGACCGATATATTCCATCTTCACAGCAGATCTTGTGTTAGTAAAAATAATGGAATGTGTGAAATATGAAGAGAACCGGATGCTTATTTTGGATTGTATGATCGTTTTGGTTATTCGACATTTTGACCATTTGTGGGGGAGGTATCAGAAGGAATGGTCCTATCTATACCATCTTTATAACAAATCTTGTTTTGATGGAAGTATTAAGATGTGCCAAGTCTGAATGGAATCGGATGTTAACTTCGTGTTTTATGAGCTTCTTGAATATTCAAAATTTTGACCCTTTGTGGGTGAGATGTCAAAAGGAGTGGACCGATGCATTCCATCTTCACACCAGACCTTAAGTTAATAAAAATATTGAGATGTGTGAAATTTACAGACAATCGTACGTTTATATCACATTTTGTAAGAGTTATAATTATTTCAAATTTTTACCCTTTGTGGGGGAGGTACTTGAGGGAGTGGACCGATATTTTCCATTTTCGCACCTGACCTAGCAGTGATGTAAATATTAGGATGTGCAAAGTTGGAGCAAAATCGGATTATCCATTTTCTTTCTGTGCAGTTAATTATTTTCTTTAAAAATTTTGATATTTTGTAGGGGAGGTACCAGAAGAAGTGAGTCGATATTGCCCATCTCCGAACTCGATCTAAGTTTGACAATAATATTATGAAGTACCAAGTTTGGATCAAATCGGATACTACCTTCGAGAGTTATCGTGGACACCAGCCAGGCAGATGGACAGACAGACGGACAGACATCGCTAGATCGACTACAAATGCCTTGAAACGGACTTGGTCCAAAGAGACCTAGGGTCTAAAACCGTTATTTCGATGAGGCACTTTTTGACTGTATCAAATGAGGCTGAGGGTATAACTAGCCATATGGCTGAGGGTATAAACAATTGGAAAATTAGTTCTTTTTAGTTCAATTAATAGAGAGATTATCAAATCTAAACTGACATAAGAAGACATACGTATGATCCGGAGATACCGTAATTTATACTACAACCCAAAATACCATTTCCCTATGTGACAAGCAATTTTGTTTGACCTTCAGCCGTTGCAGTGCGATACCATTTAACGGTCATTCACTATTTGACCCCCCAATGAACCGCTGTAATGGGAAACAGATTCACCTTTTGTGTGCACCTTGATTGATAAAAAGTCTGCCCCTGTCTGTCGGCCCCTCTTTGCTACTGCATGCATGCATATGTAAATCAATTCGCCCTACCATCGATGACGACGATTTCCTAATTGGATACGTCAATTTCTGTGATTATCAATAAGTTGCGTCGTCCGAAACATTTGCCTGCACCAGACACCTTCTAATGCAAATTGACGTTTTATGGTTGGTTGGTTTGTTTGTTTGTATTTAGCAAAATTGATTAATTAATATTTTCGCCCACAGATAAAAGAAAGAGAGAGAGAGGTGATTAAAATCTATAATGTGATAATATATTTTGTAAATAGCACTGCAAATTAAAAGGGTGGTGAGGGGGTATTTAATGTTGTGTAATAGCTATATAATTTTAGTCAGTTGACCTGTGGGAGTCCGCGGTTTATAGAAGATCCCTCAAAGGACTTGAATTTTTTCGATTTTAAAATATAGCATTTAAAAAGAAAACATTTTTGTATAAAAGTACCTGAATTGAAACGTTTTCCACTTTAAACTACAAATACCAGTAAGACCGTTTGGATATTGCTGTCAAACTTTTCAAAAAAAAATAAATAAAGTGTGTGAGGCTGTTATATGGGGGACATACGAAAACGGGAACCTCTATAGACAATTTTATACTTCAAGCATTGTCATCTACCGAATCTTCTTAAATACCAAATTTAAAAAAAACAGCGTGGGTAAATTTGACCGAGGATCATCAAAATGCCGAATATCGGTGGGTATCGTTATATGTACGTTATAGCAAACCGTTGACCTAAATATTCAATGTTCTGCCATCGGAGTTAGAACCCATTAGGAAATACAAAAACTAATTTTTAGACAAATCCGTGGGAAAATGTGGCCAATATCATCAAAACACCGAATATCGGGAGGTACCATTATATTGGGCCTATACCATGAGCTAGAACTCATTACGAACTACAAATACCATTTTTTGGACAAATACGTGAAGAAATGTGGCAAAAATCATCAAAGTGTCGAATATCGGAAGGAAGCGTTGTATGGAGGCTATACAAAAACCTGGACCTATACATAGAATGTTTTGCCACAGAAGCTAGAACCCATAAAGATTTTCAAATACCAATTTTTAAGCAAATCCGTGGAAAAATGTGGCGAAAATCATAAAAAAACCGAATATCGGGAGGTATCGTTATGTGGCGGCCATACCAAAATGTGGACCATTATATATCATATTCAATACCAACCATCCTAGACACAATACAAATTGTTCTGCCAAATTTTGAAGCTTTATGTCAAATAATGTGGGCTATTTCGTGATTTCAACAGACAGACGGACTTCGTTAAACCGACGAACATATCGCAATATTCGATTCGGCAAATATTGAAAAATGAGCTCAGCGTAAAGCCATTGAAATTCTAAAAGTGCATGAACTTACACCGCAATAGAAAGAAAATAGACTCAAAAGAGCTAAAGAGTTGCTTCGCTTGACCGCAAGTGGTGAACTGACGAATTTGGTTCTCTCCGATGAGAAAACATTTGTTGTCCAGCAGTTTGTAAACAAACAAAATGACCGTGGTTTACTTGCCAAAGAGGTCAGCTGGAAATGTGCACCTTCGGTTGGCCACCTGAACTCAAGCGCCGGCCATGGTGATGGTGTGAGCCGCCATAACAGTGGATGATCGCTCTCCGCTCCTATTAATGGAACGTGGCATCAGAATAAATGCCGAATATTATCGCGAAAATATCATGGAGGGTGTATTAAAGCCTTGGGCATGCAAACATTTTGCTGCAGACCTTGGACATTCCAACAGGACTCAGAACCATCGTACTCAGCATGCGCAACCCAAGAATGGTTTCCAAATGAGGTTCCTCGCTTTATTTCCAGCGCACAATGACCACCAAAATCTCCGGATACCATTCCGTTGGACTATTGTGTCTGGAGTATTTTGTAAAGCAAGGTTGGCACTAAAAATACCAAAGTGTCGATCACCTCAAGCAAGCGCTTTGCCGGGAATGGACCCAATTACC